TCGTAACAATATTTGTTTTGTACTGCCGTTACACAGCACAAAACGCATAAAAAGCGCACAAAACTAACGGTATTTTTGACCAGTTTCTGCCTGTACGTTTTAATAACGTTTCGCACTTGCTCCTTGTTGCGCAGCCTTTTAGGCATAACGCGCGAACTGCACGGCTGCTCGTAATCAGATTGCTCGGTCAGTCTGTCGTAGATCTAAAGCGAGAGGAGAAGCAGTGCTGGAAGCAACCGTGATTGTATTTTACTCAGTGATGACAGCTCGCTGAAGACAAATTTGCCGATTGTTTCTGAGATGTTCAAATAGCAGTAAACAGATGGAAATTGGTAACCTGCCCCTGTACTACGCACATCTCTCGCATCTGATTATGAATAAAAACTGCTACGGCTCCTAAAAAACGGCGCAAAGAGGAGAAAACAATACAACCACGTACATCTGTGGGCCAAACGGACTGAATTTTTAAGCCAACCACTGAGGCTACGTGCTTTAATCAGCCGATGCGATCAGGTATTTTCGACCACGTATTTTTTTAACCCGATGCTGCTAGTGTTTGTGCAAAAATTTTTTAAGCACACAAGTGCATAATGTGCTTGCGGCTCTCGCTAGGAAAAAAACAACATTTTCTCAGCTTCAATCCGTCCCACTCATTCGGGAGCTGTGCACGCAGTCAGAGTACAGTGGACTGAGTCCGTCGTCCCTGCACTGTCTTCTGCTAGCAAAACCATCCCGCCGAGACGGAATGTGTTTGGACACAAACCATACTGAGCTTGCTTCCCGGACAAAACCTCCAAAACAGGAATGCAGTTACACTTCCGAGACAAACGAAAGTACCCCGATACTTGCGACATTTTTTGCCTTTTAGTGGATTGGCACGAATCCCCAGCTACAGAGTGGTAAAAACGAATCGCGATCAAATACGGTCGTGTATCTCAGCCCACTTCTCACTTGAGCATTTAGCTTTTTTCTGCTGTGTGACACGCCACTTTCAGCTAAAATTCTCAGCTCGCAGAAAAATTTCGGCTCTTCCCAGCTATGTTTTGCAAATTCAGATAAAGTACTGAATCCTAGCAAAGTCTGGGAGACGCTCGGCTTGTATTTGCACCACTTGACTCGGCCTTTCGCATTCTTCCCTTCTTCTGCGCGGAAAATGCGGGCGACAGGCAGTTGCTTTCACGATATGCCATTGCGCAGAACATTTCGAGAAGCTTAGCAAAAAAATTTACCTCCACAGCATTTGAGCTCACGATTGTCTGCTCCTTCACCTCCTGCAGTATGATCGGCAGAGTGCGAAGAAACGGCTGGCTGGTCCTTTTGGCATTACCGTGGGGAGTGCTGTCCGACACTTCAGCGCCTATTATGTGATCGCCGATATAATGGAACAGCACCAAACCGCATGGCTCGCGCGAATATTCGCAGCGCCTGAAGTCAATCGCATGAGCAAACAGTAGCCACTCCGCACGACTATCACCGGACAGATGGAGGCAGAACTGAGCTAAAAATCTCTGTTTCTGACCGACCTCTCATTGCCCCTCAGTGCCGGTCAGGGCTTTACTCCTGCTTGTTGAGCAGGCAGGCTCTACAGGCAACTAGGCTTTCTATTATCTCGTAAGGGGCACTGCACTGCTGCTGCACTCCCAGCAGCGATGCTCTTTTGATCCCCCCCC